TCACCCATCCCTTCAACCGCCCCGTCAACCGCCCCCGCCCCCGCCTCTACCTCCGACCTCAAGGCGCTCAACTACCAACTTCCCGCAGACATCGCCGTGCCCCCCTTCGCACAGTCCTCCAAGGACCCCGAGCGCGATCTCGCCCGCCTCTACGAGGCCGTCTCCGGTGCGCGTCGCATCGCCGTCATCTGCGGCGCAGGCATCTCGGTCTCTTCCCCCGCCAACATCCCCGACTTTCGCTCCGCACACGGCCTCTTCAAAAAGCTAAAGGAGAAGCATCCAACCGCAGGCCTCTCCTCGGGCAAGGACCTCTTTGACGCTCGCCTCTTCAGCTCAGAGTCCACCTCCGCACTCTTCTACTCCATGGTCGCAGAGCTCAAACGTCTTGCAGACGAGGCCCAGCCCACCATCTTCCATCGCTTCCTCAAGCGTCTCGACGACGAGGGCCGTCTCCAGCGCGTATACACACAAAACATCGACGGCCTCGAAGAGAAGGCCGGCCTCACCTTCGGCCTCGGCGAGGCAGGCGACTCCACCTCCACCGTCCGCGCCCTCGGCAAGCGCAAGCGTCTCGGCGCCTCGGACTGGTCGCGCTCCAAGTCCGACTCCGCCCTCCTCTTTGCTCACAAGCAGGAGCTCCAACAATCTCTGCCCATGTTCCCGCGCACCATACCGCTCCACGGCACCCTACAGACCCTCACCTGTGCTCTCTGCAACCACAAGGTGCTGCTCGGCAACACGGTCCACCAGCACTCCGACCAACGCGACGACTCCCTACCCGCCTCCCGCCAAGGTTCCGCCTCGCTCGGCCACGAGGAGAGCAAGCGCGCCATCGAGCTCCTCCAGAACGGCGAGGCCGTACCCTGCCCGCGCTGCGTCACCGCAGACGAGGTGCGCACCTCCAACAACATGCGCTCCCGCGGCGTAGGCAGGATGAAGGTCGACATCGTCCTCTACGGCGGTCAGAACGAGGGAGCAGAACGCGTCGGCCAGTGTCTCCAGCGCGACATTTTGGGCCTGCGCGATCCCAACGAGCCGCCCGTGCCCGAGTCCGCCGCCGAAACGCGCGCACGCGAGCGCAAGGAGAAGAAGCAGGCTGCCAAGCTCGAGCTCGAACGTCACCAGAGTCAGAGCGCGCTCAAGCACGAATCGGCCGTTGCAGGCGATGCCAGCATCGATTCGGAGAGCGCCATCGATTCCGAGCTCGGCGCTCTCCTGCCATGCCAAGACTCCAAGGATGACATCCTGGCGCGCGCCTTTGCCGAAGATGCCGACGCCGAAGCGAGCGAGCCCAAGAGTGGCACTCAGGAATCGACCGCGCCGTCCAAGAAGAAGGCTGCGCGTCCGCCCCGCCTCAAGCCGCTCCCGCCCGACCTTCTCATCGTCGCCGGCACCAGCCTCAAGGTGCCCGGCACCAAACGCATTGTGCGCGAATTCGCCAAAGCATGCCATGCCCAGGACGAGTGGCTCGTCTACTCCTCCGACGACGAACCGGACAGCAGCACCGCCGAAGAGTCCAAAAAGCGTCGTGCCAAGCAATCCAACGACAAGCCCGACAAGAGCGCTGGCACCAGCACCGAGGATGCCGAGGATACCGAGCATGAGCAAGACGACGAGATCCACGATCCCAGTGCGCCCATTCGCACCATCCTGCTCAACTACGACTTTCCGAATCCGGCGCGAGAGTGGGAGGACGTATTCGACGTGTGGATCCAGGGCGATCTTCAGCGAGCCGCACTGTCGCTCTTCCCCTCCAAGCCGGTTGATGAAGCGGCGCCGGTGGAGGCGCAGACGATCGAGCAGGTGGTGCGCAGCCACACGTGGGCCAAGTTTAGCGACTACCTCGACGAGCAGCGCAAGCTGGCCAAGAAGCAGAAGCGCGCCGCGCTCACCGATGCACGCAAGGGCCGCTTCCATCGCACCGTCTCGGCGGCGGCCAAGATGGAGCGCACTCAGTCTTCCGCCACGCCTCCCGCCAGTGCCGCGTCGGGCTTCAAGTCTGTTAAAGCCAGGAGTCGGTCCGAATCGCCCGTCAAGAAGCGTGCTGCATCCACTGCGCCTGCCAAACGTGGTGGCGGGTTGAAGCGAAGCACCAGCAAGGCCAACCCGTTTGCAGCCGCCGGCGTCACGGTGGACATCGACACGATCCAGGAAGAGGACGAGCAGGCGCAGCAGGCGCAGGGAAAAGGGCGTGACGGTGGCACGGTACGGAAGGAATCGCCACCGTCGGTACCGCCTCCTTCCGCCGCGATCGGGCGAAAAAGGTCGTGGGCCAGGTCACAGACCATGCCCGAGCAGCAGCTCGTCGTGCTCGTCGACAGCCAGGCGTCCAATTGCAGTGGTGCGACGTATGGAAAGCAAAAGCGCAACCAGGCGCTCAGCAAGGCGGATAAGGCTAGGTGGGCCGACATGCAACGCGGCACCGCCGAGGTGTAATCCCTCCTGGTACCAGCCGTCTAGTTGCACATCCAGTCTCGGCGCCGATGGCACAACGAGTCGCGTTTTGAACTTTGGTTGTCGCTCTTTGTGTGAGAATGCAAGCAGCGACACTTGAATGGATGCGTATGCGGGTGTGAAGCGATGGGTCTCGCTCGTTGCGGTGCAAAGTGGTGTCGAGACGATCAAGTGGTTCCTGGCCACGATGCACGAGGCCGGTCCAACCCAAATCGACACGATCAGCGCAGAAAGCGATGCTGCAACGCCGTTGTCACGCTTGCGATGTGCAAGTTGGCCGAGCTGGATCGCAAGGTGACGCCTTTGAGACGGACTGCAAGCGGGCGAGATGCAAGGCGATGCACTGCGTCGTGCGTGTGCTTGTGTTGAGGGGGTCGCTCGAAACGCACATCATCCTGGCCCAGCGCTAGGATCAAGACTCTCTGGTGGTAATGCAGCCGAAGCGCCTGCATCACCTATGTCAAAAAGAGGAAACTCTTCTTGGCGCGAATC